TCATACAGTGGATCTTTCAAGCCAAGTTTCTGGACCCTCTCAAACTCAACAATCTCAAAGTGAAGCAAGGCAATAAACCTGTAGGGAGAATTGGATGTTTGGTGTAAAGCTTGTTCCGTAAAGCTTGTTCAAGTCTAGTATATATTCACTTTTTTTGGATGGTTGTGATATAGAACATGCTTTTGGACCTCTGTTGACTGGTGTGGATTGTGCCTTTTTTGGCTAGTTGGCTGGTTGGATGTCTGGTGTAAAGGCTATTTTGTAAAGCTTGTTCAAGTCTGGTGTAAAGGGTATTTTGTAAAGCTAGTTGAAGTCTAGTGTAAAGGCTATTTCGTAAAGCTTGTCCAAGTCTGGTAAAGGCTAATTTGTAAAGCTTGTTCAAGTATATATTGATCCGTGGTTTTAGTTACGTACTATCCACTTTGTGTAGATGATGTTATTTGCATTGTGATGATGAATTTGGTCTAGTGCATATGGCCTGTATGCTGGAAGGGACTCTCTCTCTCTCTCTGCCCATTTTGATGATAATTACTATTGAAATTGATTTATAGTTCGAGAGCTGCTAGAATAGGTTAATATCCTAATTTGGACTTACTACCTTGCAATATTTGCATCTTAAGGCTTCTTTTATATCTAGAAAAATATGTTGCTTCTGGCTTATTATGTAAAATAGTACTTCATTTGTATATCTGCATATATAATCTATTTATCTTTCAGTAAGGCCCCATTTGGTTCAGCATTTGGAAGGGGCTTTTGACCTCGAAAGCCCCTTGGAGAAATGCTGAACCGTTTGGTTTAGCATTTGGAAGTCCATTGGCCAAATGCTGAACCCAATTTTTTTGTCCCCAAACTATCCTCATTTATTTTGGCTTATTCCGGTTTTGCCCCTCTTGTTACTGTTCATCTTCTTCGTGAGGCGGCCGGCGAGGGAAACTGGCGAGGGCAGCCGACATAGGATCGGGCTGGCGAGAGGCCGGCGAGGTCGCATGACCCAGGCGACGGCCGCTAGAGGTCACGCGACCGCCCAGGCGCCACCGGGTTGGGTCGCGCGAGGCTGTCTGCCGCCTGGGTCATGCGACCCTCGCCGAGGGTCGCCCAGCCTCGGGCGAGGCCGCCGGCGACAGATCTGGCTCGCCGGGGGTCGCCCGACCTCAGGCGACGGCCGCCGACGCCAAATCAAGCTCACCAACGGCCGTAGGCCTTCCCCGGCTCCGGCGAAGGGTAAGGTAGGTTTTTGTTTTTAATAAAAATGATAATTCCCAAAGCCGTTTTGCAAAAAAAAAATTGCCAAATACTACTTGGGCCAAAATAGCTTTACAAATGATTTTTTATCAAACGCCATTTGCATTTCCCCAAGGAGCTTTAACCTAAAGGTATTTGCATTCCTCCAAGTAGCATTTGCAAAGTTGAACCAAACGGGCCCTTAGAAGGCATCTTCTGCGGCACAAGAATGAAGTGCTGCATTTGGCAGGCTTCCAATAGTCTTCTAATAATGATTCCGATGGAAAGAAAAAATTTCAAGTATTGATGATATAGAGGCAATGTTAGAGTAATTTGGAAAATAAACTTGATTGCACATCACAACTCTATCAAATTCAGAAAAATTAATGGAGGATAAATTTGTCATGTGTGTACTGGTTTGGGATTTTTGGTGATTGAAAAAATTAGTTCGGGATAAATTTGTCACAGGTGTACAATTTTGGGGTAAATTTATCACATATATATCAGTTTGGGGTAAATTTGTCACATATGTACCAGTTTGGAGTTTTTCGTTATATCAAACCTATGAATTTCCACATAGACTTGCCACGTCACCATACCACGTCATTGAGCGTCGTTCACGTCAGTAAATTTAACGGAAAAATTTGACGGAAGTTAACGAAGGGTAAATTTATCACAGGTATACCAATTTGGAGTTTTTGGTGGTCAAAAAATTAGTTTGGGGTAAAATTGTCACAGATGTACCAGTTTGGGATTTTTCGTGGTATTAACCCAAAAAAAAAACACAATGTATGTCATAAAATTTGGACGATGGATCTCCTATATAATGTACATGGAGAATTTATAACTTCTTAATGAAACACACATCCTTTTCGATGATTTTTGTAAAGAACAATTTTGACTGAATTAATTTTAGTGTGTATAGATCATAAAGACATCTCAATAACAGAGCATAAGTTACATAATCTAATTTGGACTTAACCCTCCAATCTTTAAATGGCATCAAATCTGTCTCGACTCTTGCGGACAAGCTACATATGAGAAACATGGAGGTTTTGGTACCTTAAACTGGCATGCAGAAAATGTCTTTTAACACTTGAGCCATCAAGATGGAAGATGCAAGAAGTGTAATACATGTTTTGGACTTTTGAGTTTTGCTTAAAAATCTTAGTTTGGCTGAATAGAAAAGACTATGGAAGCCCAGTTTTATTGCTATGATTAATTACTAGAGCTTTTCCAACACCTACTCAACAAACGGCATCAATCTTGCACTGCACACAAGAGGATGTCGATAAAACAATTTGCAGCTCATAAAGAAGTACAACGCCCGAAAGCTCAGAGAAAACCCAGACTACTGTGTTATATAATACAACACGGGAAGAAACGAGGCAAATAGATTATAAAAAATAAGACACGGACAACACACTTTGGGACCCCGATAATATAACTTTTTGACCGTTCTTCGCTGAGTTCAGGGCTACCATGTAGAATTGTTGAGTTTGCTCAACACTTCTCGACAGCGCAATCAAACCGGGACCACAACACTTGCTCGTGTTTGCTACAGATTGTGACGGACGAATTGGGTCACAACCAAGTTGTGGGCGAATCGGGTCTTCACAATTTGGACGGGCGACTCTTGGATTGTGACAGACGAAAGCGTCAAGCAAAAGGAGGCTCGATTAACCAACGCGACTCACGGACAAACGACTTCGCTTGATAAAAATGGCAAGATGAGATCGAATCTACAAAAAATTTGTGAGAATTTTGGACGAGATCATTCTAGGGTTCATCTGGACCAAAGACGATTTGGGGAAACCCACAATTTGAGATCTTTTGCGGCGACGCCGTTTGGCACTTCTTGAAGGTTACTTTTTTTAAAGCATAGCTAAATGATGTAGTTTTGGTTCTCCAGTGGCCACGTCAACACCGGTATCGCCGACCGATGCCGACTAGGATTCCACGTGGGACTTTTCCGACTATAAATGGCCGGATGGACTGAAACGGCACAATTACAAAATATTTAGGACTAAATTGGCCAAAAACAAAGGCTTAGGACTAAATTGGCACAATTGCAATAGGTTTAGAACTGTTTTGGTAATTTTCCCTTTATCCATGTCTTGATCTCCTTATAATCAGACATTTCCCACCAATAAAAATTTACGATCACAATTTGCCTACATCTTCGGCATTGCACTTTGCAGTCATAGAGTCCCATATTTGTTTTGATTTTTTGTATGGACAATAGACATCAAACAAATTATTAGAAAGCGTATTAATAATATTGTGCCCACGTACCTTATTAGCATGATCCATTGTTCCAGCAACTTATTATCAATTGGTTTGGCCTTCGTAAGTGCAAAACCTACTCCATGCACAACTGGGATGGTAAAAAAATTTCTTGCCACCTTTTGAAGTTGTTGCCATTAAAATTTTCAATCTTTGATATGTCGGGAAATGGTTTAGCATAGGACATATGTGGTAGTGGTGGTAGCACAATTAGAGCGACAGAGGTAGAGGAATCAACAGTAGCGGTGGCAGCAGCGGTGGTGGCAACAACGATGGTAGTGGCAACAATTTCAGCTTTGAAATTCATAAGATTTGTCCTTAAGATTGTTGTAAATTTGGAGAAGATGAATATAAAATCAATTGTACGAGGAGTGCAAGCATCAGTCTTAAGAATAATTCCCCCCTTGGAGTATGAAACTCGGTGCAACATGCTCTAACAGCCATCCTTCGAGGATACAACAATCCTTCCTCCTTACTTTACACAAAAAAATAGAGAGAATAGGAACAACATAATTATATGTAGAACCTAGCAAAGAAAGGGAACAAATGTAAGGGAAAGAGAGATTTTTCTAGTGGAGGTGGTCTTTTTGTATTTTGTTTTTGTGGGATTGTGGTTTAATGGTTCTATTGATAGGCAAATGAAAAGGAGGGTTGATTAGAAACAAATTATAATGGCCGGCTGTGATATTTAAAAATCAAACAGTTTTTATCAAATTGATGACAATCAAAACCGTTCCAAAACAATTGACAATTATCGAATTGATGGCTGTCAAAACTGCTACAAAACAATGGTTTTTTAAATCTTCAAAACTGTCAATATATTCACCATAGAGTTCATCGAGTACCCCGCAACAGTAATGTCCCAACTATCTATTATCAAATTGATCCAACTAAATATCATTATTTCGCGGGACATTGCTTATTTCATGTTCTTTAAAATATCTCAAAGTTAAAACAACAAGAAGGACGGCGGTGATGATGATGATCGTGGCCATCAAATAAACAAGTGACTGAAGAATTTTAATCTAATTACTATTGGTGTCCGGAAAGTATAATCCAAATTAAGTTGTATTGGACTGTTTTGATAACTACTGCATGGTCATATTAAGCATCATTACAACTTTTAAGTTTCTTAATATATTTCTGTTCGAATTGATTGCAGTATGGTTGGAGATTGACACATTATTTTTCTTAACATTCGCGCCCTCCAGCGCTCTCATTCTAGATTTGCCCCTGATCCTAGAGTTAATGAAGGTGTTGTGGAGAGAGAGGAGACGAGTGTGAATAACTATTTGCCTATGATTATTGCTATAAAAAAGGTCAAAAATTATATTACTACGGTTCACTGGACGAACAGTGGTAAGCTTGGTAAAAGCTCTATTCACCTGAGATGGTTTTTAGCAAACTGAAAGAGATGGTCCCCCATTAAAAGCAATGAGAAGCCAAAGATCTAAAGATGTTTGAGCAAAGCTGTCATAGAGAAGACGGAAGACTCGAATCACTAATCAATATACTTTCATTTCACTACTAGTTATGAGATCAATCAATGACATCTTTCCCCGTGTGAGAAATTCTAAAATGTGTTGGAAATCGTCGAGCTCTATGGCGCTTCGACTCCGATGTTTTTTTCAATCAATCGCTGTACAAACCGAGTGTCTGACTCCGGCATGTCATGCTACCTGGAGCATTCCGCTTCTTTCAGCCTCTGGAATTTTCGTAGGAGACCTCACGACTTTCACGCGATACATCGCCTGCAAATGAGCATGACAGGTTTTCACAGTCAGTTTAGTTAGCAAATCTGAGAACCGAGGAGGATTACATAAACTTTGATAAACAAACTTATGGAAGCTACAAGTAGTGTAACAATTATGACATGAACTTCACAAGGAACGGAAGACTGACCCTCTTGTCTGAACCAAACTCGATGGTGTCCGAGGGATGAATCCTAGCCGGGAAATTAGGAGTTGCACGATACCGACGCCCTGCATTACTGCAAAAGTGATCTCATCACATCCTATAACTACAACTCGGTAAACAATAAGGAGAAAAGAAACAAAGAAGACCCTGCTCTGTGCTACTTACTCGGTGATCCAGGTACCGTGTTCACTCCGCAGATCGGTCACGAAAAATGCACCATCCTTGTAGCTGATTTGAGCATGTACCTTTGAAATCTGAAACAAGAATGCCACGTGAACTTAATTATATATTTCCCCAACAAAGCAAAGTGGAAACGTGCGAAAGAAACCAAAATGAAATGAACATTCACCTGTGGCAAAGGTATTGTCACTGGAATGCCAGGAAGTTCATCATTTAGTTCGCTCCTATAAGCCCAAAAAGCTATTATTAGCAACAATATGGAAGGCTGGTATCATGAAGGTAACGGACATTGATGTCAATGTTACATTGCTTTCGACTTGCCTGTTAAGTTAAACAAGGAACCCTATCTCATAATACACATTCAAAGTGTTTTCTCCTGACATGAGAGGTTATAATACAGTTAAGACAAAGCATGAAATTGCTTTTTGAGCCATTCACAAACTTGCAGGAAGCTGAGTCAATACGGTGCCACCTCTGTACTACATCATAACATAGAGAGCCAAATGAAAAATTAAGTCCGTACCCAATAATGCAGCTTGTGCTTTCGTCTCTCCTTAAACAAATAGGTTGCGGTGGACTAGTCTTGTTTCCAAATGGTAAAAGAAGCCATCTGCAAAATACATGACAAGTGCATGATAAAGAGTGGTTTGTGGTAATTGAGAGTAAATATGACGGGAACTGAACAAATAAACACAAGGCTCAAATACGTACTCCCCATTCATAGCACGCTCCAATGCATCATCATCTTCGAACCATCTTCTCAACTGGTCATTTGCCTTTACTCACATGGATTGGATATAAATTAGCTTCCACATTGAGGATTTGTCACATATTTACAATGAACTGAATTAGCTATACAACCTAAGATAATTTAAAGGAATGCAGGGACCATACTTTGTCTGAGAGTCTGCAACTAGGTGGCCTACCCTCAAGTTTCGAGCTGTCAAGCACCATAATTCCAGATTCAGTCCAAACACATTCCAAAACGATTTGTGTCTCAAGTTTTTTGTAGTTGCAGGATCATTATAAAGGAAAGAAAAGCCAGAAAAGTATTGACCTGTTTCCACCCAATACCCAGTTGAGCATCAATGGCATCGCGATGTCTATAAAGAATCTTCCACCAACTCTTCCAGGATGTGGTATCCGAAGCTTCGTCAGAAACTGTGAATATTTGGCGTAGCAAGAATCAATGCAAGGATGATATCAACAGAATGCTTGCTTTTATGGCCTGATTTTTGACAAGTACCTACCGAGAGTGGACCAAGACCCACACCTAAATAAGCTTTGTACGTCGAGGCCATTATTGCAGCCATTCTTGCCATTCCATGGATGGCAGCAACTCTTAGCCGTCTGGCTTTCTCGTAGCTAGAGGAAATTCAAATTAAAATTACAAGCTCAGTTGACTGACAGATTGAAAACTTTGATCAATCTTAGCACATCAAAGATATAGAGTACTAAATATGTCTCCTAACATGCAGTAACTGCATAACGTAGATTCATGTCAATACTTGCTCCTAGAAACAGAAAGATGGTGTTCCAAGAAGTTAGAACTATGATAGTACACTGTGCTTAATCAGGGATGGTTGCTTGCTTGCACTATAGAGCATAAATACATCAAGAGTTGGATTGAACATCCATGCTTTGTACCATGCATCAAATAGCAGAGGATAGTTGCTGATAAGTCAACCGAGTTTCAGAACCAAAGGGTAAAAATCTTCCCATTTGTCACTAGAAAATATATCTAAAAAGAGCAAAATTATGTGAGACAAAACATTATATTTGCAGGAACTACTGTTATACACTCGTGACTAAGTTAACAAGATCAAGGACTTAATCTTCTGGGCATTTTTTAACAAAGAAGCTAATAAAGGATTAATTACCTCCTCAGAGCATCATTCACATCAATTGGGGTCCCAGATTCAACGCTATTTTTCCATGCCTTCTCAAGCTCCAGGGAGAGTTGGTAACCATCCTGTGCAAATGATAAAGCAATTACTGGCTTCATTTTAACGGCCATGTTCAAGCATTTCAATTGAGCAATGAGTACAAACTTTCACTATGTTTATAAAATGCTAAACGGAGAGATTGAAGCATACAAAAACATGCAAACTATAACATGCCCATACAAACAAACGTGACCAAGCAAGTTTACCAGATCACATACAATTTTTTTTTTGGGTCAAATATCACATACAATTTAAAGAGCAGTTATATTTTGATTTGTAAAGAGAAACAAAAAATTGATGAGAATTATACTGAAACATCATAAAAGAAAAGATCAGAAATTTCTTGAACCAGCCAAGCATAAACATGTAACCAAAAAAAAAAAAAAAACATGTAAAAGCAAGCAACACAGTCTTCTTGACTTAGAACTTATAACACTTGAATTTTGGATGCATACTTCAATGGCCATGCATCCCCCTTGCCCCATATTGGGCTGCATAGCGTGTATGGAATCCCCAAGCAAAGTCACACGACCCTTTCCCCACGTAAAAGCCGGTGTGCGGTCATAAATGTCGCGTCGAAGAATCGCCTCTTCATCCGTGGCAAGTATAATATCTATCACATTATCACACCAACCTTCAAATATTTTCAAGAGCCTTTCTTTTTTACCTGCAGAATCGTCACATACGAAAAGATATGATCATCACAAGTAAACAGGTACTCGGCTTACGTCACAGGAATGGGTTTATACAAGATATGGTCAAATCCACTGTTCCCGGTCACAACAATGTATCCAAGCCACGAAACTTATGATGACAAATGTATCTCTAGTAAATGCCGCTTTTTCATAAAAATAAAAATAATAATAAAAGATGAAAACTATAAGTCATTGAGATAATGACATGCACAGAAACCATGGAATGCGCAGATCAGTTCCGAAATACAAAGCACGATCGGAATGAACTTAGAATCTTTAAGCAAAAGCAGGAAATGCACCATTTGCACCATCCACACCACCGGGTGCTTCTTCGTGAAATGCGTACCACTGCATCTTTCCAGCGCCAACATCTGAAGAGACAAAATACTGCTTGTGTCCCAGAAATACTCGATACCTTCAGAGCAAGAATAACTCAACTTGTGAGAGACTTGATGATCGAAACATATACCAGGACATGATTAACATCCCTTTAATACCACACCAATCGAGCTAATTCATGACCCTGACACTGACAGAAGAGGGAAAGGCTTTACATACTTACCCGACAGTCTCAATGTCAGCTGGTACAAAATCTGCAATGCCGGTGTAACAAGTATAGCCTGAATAGGTGGCATCCTTTGGCCCAAATAATCTTTTCCTCACCTATTCTCAATGGAAAAAAAAGACCTCTCAGTAGATGGGATTGGAATAGCGACTTTGTCACATTTTTTGCAGACGATTTTGCGATCATCTTTTCACTTTGCTTTTAATGATAGAAGGAACAATATCGAATAGATGATATTTGCCTGATCCTTAGGCCTAAGACTCCCTCACTTGCCTAGATGACTGGGATGAAGCAGTTTGTCTGGGCATCTAATTCAGTGCTCATTAGGATTTTGTTTCAACATGTTAGGACAACAATTTGCTCCAAAAACTTTTTCACTCCCTAATTGGGCAAACATTCTCTCTTTTATCCGAAAAGAACAGAGAAGAACATGGTACCTTCGACCATATGCCGTCGGCTCCAATTAGGAGATCACCTTCAAAACGCTGCCCATTCTCAAGAATGACGGTAACCTTAAATTGATAATAAGAAGCACAGGATGAGGAATGTCAAATGGAGCCAAGTAACAACCAATAAGATTATCTTATCAAGTGCATTTTCCAATACATAAGGGAAAAAACTTCCAGTTGCATTTCCCTGAAACCAGTTGATGAAGAAATAATTTCGAAAGCCTCAGTGCTCAAATTTACCTTTGTGCCATCATCATCAAAGTCAACCACGTTACTGTCATTTAATATAACATCTTCCCCGACTGCTCGAGCGAGAATCTGCTGAAGGGACATTCGGCTAATAACTCTAGTGACTGGAAGCCCCCGCTCTGCCGCAGGGGTGAATGTATCGAACTTGATATACCTGTAGCCAACTGTATATCACTTTCTGAGACTTCTCTCGAAAATAAGTTCCTCCACTGAGATTTGTGTAAACTTTTAATGGGAAAAGAAATCAAAACCACGAATGGGGGAGGTGGCAGTGCTGACCATACTAGTGCTTTTTCGATCACAATACATACATAATGTTTTTTTTTTTGTAAGTATATATTTTCGAAAATACTTGATGTAAATGTAATGAGATTGACGATGTTATTGTGAGATTTAGAAAATGGCAGCTTCACATATCAAGGTACTACGAAATCTTAATGGTTGAAAATATTCATACAGGCTCAAACCACTTTGAAACTTGCAATTCTCTGTATTCTTGTGGAATTCAAAAAGGCCTGCATGATAATATAGCTTCATATACTGAACCCACTGCGAAAATCCAGTGGCCTAAAATCTTACCCGCGCAGGCTCAGACCACTTCATTTGTCAATCTGAAACATTTTCCCGTACATAAAAACTTCTCATAATTAAGACTCGAATGATCTGTGCATAGTACAGAACAATAAATTCGTAATCCTTCACTCATTCAGCCAACTAAGATGCATAAAGGTATGCATAATAAGCAAGGGAGATCACATCTCTAAATCCTCCCTCAGTTAAGATTGCCAAACCAACAGAACGAACACACACAATCTCTTTTCTGATGCTTAAATAGTGGATATTTCTCATGCCAATAAGTTGCCAAATCAGTCTTAATTGAAAACCCAAAAAGATTAAGCAAATCAACAGTCAAAGCCAAGTGAACTCACCAAGTACCAGAAACCCCATCAACAAGGCCATTAATCCTGTCCCCAGTTATACAACCAGTCCTCATCACCTCCTCAGCAACCTCCATGTCAATAGCCTCCAAAGCAGCCAACGCATTGCTCTGTATCTGAATTGGACCCCTGTACTGTCCCTCCCCTCTAATTGCACTCAAGTCCTTCTCAAGCACCACCACCTCAAACCCCTTTTTCTTCGCCGCCAGTGCGACAACCAGCCCTCCGATGCCGCCTCCGGCGACAAGCACCCGGAGCTTCTTGCTCGGCGCCGCTTTGGCATCCGAGCTATCCTCTTGAGCCACGGGGGATTCAACTACAGTGGCTCTCACTTGTTGGGTACATCTCCTCTTCTGTAAACTGATTTTGCTACTTCTTGAGCTGTGACAAGGAGAGAAATCCAGTGGACGATCCTTGGAGATGGGAATTGAGAAGTGGGTCTTGGAGGAAACTGAGGATGAAGGGTGGATTGAGTTGAGAAACAGAGTTGAAGCCATTGATTATGCGCAGCAATACTTTGCCAGCGGTTGAACCTTCCTTCTTGAATCAAGAAGCAAAAGTTTGAGTTATCTTATTTTCTTCTCTCTTTTTTCCTGGAGGTAGCGAGAAAGATATAGAGCCAATCGAAGCCAATCATGTAGATACTAAAACGCCATGTGGCAAATTCAGGATAGCCCCACTCACGCGCATTTCTTTAACAGCCACTGAGAGAGAGAGAGAGAGAGAGAGTAAACAAAAATCTATAACAAAAATCTATGGAACAGAAGTTGATGGGCTGCTTGCTTGTGGTAGTGGTTGATGTCTTGTTAAATTGATCCAATTATTCCTCAGTCAAGACCACAACAGATGACGGAAATAGAAATGGTGTGGAGGGGACCAAGGGATTGCAGATATTATTTAGTTTTCTTTCGGCAGGTTAAGAGCTCGATTTTTCGCTTGCAAGTGCTTGATAATGACTGTGTCTTCCTCCAGTGGTCAACTCAAGAAAAATAAAAATCCAACGTGAATTGTTTGGTTATTTCTCCACCAGAAGAAAGAAAAGAGTGGGTCTGCACCACGCTCAGATTTCGTGGAATCCAATCAAAACAATGAAGCAAAATCTAAAAAAGCGCACACACGCGCACATGATATCTGATAATCTGTGTCTGATCACCCTTTTGGCAAACACCTTTCTATCAAAAGCTTGATCATTTGTCCATTTTTGAAGAAGAAGAAGTTTTTGTGTACTGTGGATTTTGATTAAAAAAGGGGAAATGGCCAACAAAATGCAGAGGTCAATATTGGAAGGGAAGAACTTGTCCAAGTCAAGCATAAAAAGATGAAAAAAAGGAAAAAAAAAGTGAAAATAAAGGAGGCGACACCTTTTTAAAAGATATTTAATTCATTGAATTGCATTGAGGTTCTGTGCGGGGGCGGTGGTGAGATAAATAAATGAATATATGTTTTTGACCTTATGTTTCAACATCATTATCATCACCTCCCCTTCTTTTTTTATTTTTTATTTTAGGTGGCCGATACAAAACCACCACACGTGTCACCAATGGGGTACTCCCATTTCCTTTCGATGGCGCACGGTCTCAAAGGCTTCAGTTGTCCGCGGGACGAAAACCCAGCTCCAGAGGTTTTTCAGCCGCTGCCATGTCATGGGCAAATTCATTTTCTTTTGGCTAGCCAACAGAAAAACACATGTAATTTATTTTTGAACATCGAACAACAATATACAAATTAGCTCACTTTTTCTTTAAATTTTTGCCAAAAATCGGGGTCGGCTTGATCGGGGACCGGTTAGCAGCCATGTTCGATTCCCACCCGGATATCAAGATCTTGACTGTGAATAATTATCTTTTTTTTTTGTATAACCAATTGATGGGTAAATGGTTGAATCGCTCTTTTTGTTTCTTCAAATATAAAAGCAATACCGTGAAAAAAAAAACTCAAAATCAAGAGAGGATGGAAAGTAAAAGAAAGGATGATTTCACTTGCCGTTACTGAAATTTAGTGGGTATCACAATTGAGTCACAAAAACTTTAGTTTGAATCATTCGATTCGATGTACTAAACTTTCATACTTTTTGTAATTAATGTCACTTTAGTCGGAATATAGCAATTGATCCAGCAAAATTGCTAATATGGTAATAACGATAGATTTTCTAGATGCCGTTAGCGTTTTGTCAAGAGATAGCTCAAATTCAAGTCATAGTACATTAATTGCAAGGGGGAATAAATAAAATTTAGAACGACCGGCTAATTGAAATGAAAGTTCAAATAAAAGGATTATTTTAGTGATATTAATTGGAATGAAAAATTTACCAGAGAACAAATAAGGTTTACTATGCACGATTAAGGTTTAACCTGATGATTATTTATTAGAAATAGCTTACTAATAGAGAGAAGATTTACCATGAACAACTAAAGTTTACTTACTACTAACAAATAATTTTTGCTGACAAATAGACTCACTTTTACTATACATGAACGTGGTATGCCACAATATATATGAAGTTACCAAAAATAACTACACTTTATTACTGAAGAAAAATTATTTTCCTTCCAAGAAATTAATAATGTACATACGTGAAGGCATCTTCTCCATATCAAAATGTATAAAAGGTTTCGCCATTATCGAAAAGGGAAGATTGTTGAGGACACTCCATAAGTGTTTTGGAAATGACAAAACATTCAGTGTAAACCTTATTTGAATTTGCAGACGAAATATCATCTGCAGACACAAGTTCATACACAGATGCTGTTAACAACAAAAGGTCCACGCCAGTGGAGAGCTTCCTAAGTCTGCATATGAGAGCAAGATACCGCGTGGAAACTGTTACAATTGGAAGGACCTTTGAATTTTGGTATACAAGCAAGGGACGTGAAATTGTCGAGGTGTTTGGACAAACCAAATAGAACAATAACAACTTAGATAAGCTATGTGCATCAGTATGGTTGGAAGGGCCTTAGTGCAACAGGTGAACAGATTGAGATTTGTTAAAATAGTCAAGTCCGAATAGATCCCGTTGTAGAGGAAGTATATGCTACAATCAAAGTATACAATAATCCACGTAGCTGGGAACAAAGACCTAGTTGTATATCAATAGGATTCAAATTTTACTTTGGAGCCAATTTCAGATCTTGGAATTCATAGAAAAATGTTCTAGACAAGTCATAAAGGTTTTCCATATTTTACTAAATAGAAGAAGTGTCAGGCAAGTTCGTGAAGCAATTTGGTCTATTTCAAGCAAGGTCCCTTGATTAGCTTTGGGTGAACATTCTGAGTTAAGAACAACCTTTGCAACAACCCATTTGACCAATTTGAAGACTCCAATGTGTTGAGGAAGTTTGGGGGGGCATCAAAGTGGTTGTTGAAGATTGGCCGACGGGATCGAAACACTCTCAAAGCCTGTTTTAACTTCTCTTGCTTAGATTTTGAGAAAACCCTTGTGATTCATATTGTAATCTTATGATAGAGTGTTGGAGTAATCATTGTAAAGAATGTTTTGGGTGTAATATGGAAGTGTACGTACTTGCAGAGTGAGCTACAGTCCCTCCTGGAGAGGCATTCCATCTGTAAATATTATCAAAGGCTTCTAGCATTGCATCGGTGTATAACATTCTTGTTGATGGGCTATTAGAACTAGGAGAGTGGAGTAGACTAAATAAAAGGCCAAACCACTATAAATTGCTTCGTAGATTAGACCAACTCACTCTCTCAAAGCAATGGTTTATGTAGTTGCTTGTGTAAACTTTTTTTTGCACTGATGGTGTAATCTAAATTACTCTTAAAAATATATCTCAAGTTTTAGCTTGTAAAAAAAAACGAAAGAAAATTTTTCTCACTTGATTAGAAAAAGGCTTGCCCAGAGTTGTTAGTCACGCTTAAAATTATATTTTTTTGTGCACTAGTTGTTAGTTACGCTTCTTGGCTGTCAAAGCTAATGTTCAAGTAGTTTTCACTTTTGCTGCTTCTGACCGTCCGGATTCGCATAGAGATAGGATATGATAAGGTGGGTTTGAAATCCACCGAATATTTTTCAGATTGTAGACATCTTATCAACCTAAGATAGGATTAAAAATTCTCCACTATGTCCAGCTGCTTTGGCCTCCACCTGCCACTTTCGACATCCCCCATAGTGCCTAAAGTCTGCCATCCCATTTGTTGCCCTATGCAAAACCTTGCGCAACCAATTATATTACAATGACGGAGAGGCAAAGCACGAAGGGGTCGATCTGGGTTGCCTTTTAATTGGAAACCTAGTCTTCCACTTGGGTCGTCGCTAATTTGTTCACTTGAGGACTTGCAAAAGAGCACCTTTCACTCTCCCAATGCAGATTGACGCCAAAACGAGAGTACCTAGAAAGAAATACGAAAAATAAGCGAAACCGTGGTATTCTTTTGTTGGTGTAATCCAGGCACGGAGACCTCTCTCAAGATCTCCTCATCTACTCGAAAGTAGTCTCTGCTTTGGGAAGCCTTTAATAGAACTCCATGCAATGAAGTTAGTCCCATCCGAACGTCCCATAGAAGCAACAACATTGCTGAAAACTATTGAAAATATGTCTCGAGTTTGAGCCCAAACAGGAAAGTTTTCTAATTTAAGTAGGTTTCTTATTTTGAATAGATTTCCTAGTTGGAGAAAGTTCCTAAAAAGAGGTTTTTTGTGACATCCTCAAATTTCTACCATATTTTGGATATAATAAATGGTTATTTCGTCAATGCGCAATGAGTAGAATTAGGCTCTAAATTGATTTCCGGAATCATTCAAGAGTATTCCAAGCTTTGGGAAAGGCAATTTAGGACTTCGATGCGCGTGACCAAAGAATTGAATCATGAGTTGACAATTCGGCCATAAGGATCGATGAGGGATAATCATAAGCCATTTCAAGTCGATCAAGGAATGGTTATAGCTCGATTCGGCAATAGTATATAATCGGTTTGCAGGTGGTTCCGTGCAATTCCTATATTAGTTCCGAATGACACTAGATCAATCCCTAATGATCGTATACTTCAAAACGGGCTATTGACCCCTCTCAATTACATGACAATCGAAGGTCATCCATGAATTGAAAAGGCTTAAACATAGATTGATTTAGAGTCAATTACGGGTCAAACGCACGAAACCCCTAAAAGTCGCCCATTGTTCTAATTATGCGAAAGATGCATTTAAGAGATTTTAACCGTGAATTCTAATCCAGTTGAGAGTATTGGACTCTAGAGGATTAAGAAACAACTATTGGATAATCTCAAGGGATCCCCTATTTATCGGTAAACCGTAAAAGTTTGGAGAAGTGAAATTCGGGCTGGAAATTGGGAGCCACAAGGAGACCCACGAATTTGGAAAGGCCCAATGGGCCTCATGAACATCAAATTCGGCCACCAAGGGCCCAGATAATATAAATTACGGTTTTGCCCTTTTAGACCCAATTTGAATAGTTTTGGGAAAAATTGTACAAGAAGAGCCCAAGGTGAGAAGCCCACAAGGAATTAAGCCCAAGGACAAAGCCCAAGAGGAATTTGGCCATAAGGAGAGATAAAATGGGCTTGGCCCATTTGTGAGCCCATTTAAGCCTTCTAGAAAGAATTGACTTTTAGGGCATGAATAGTATTTTGAAGTGAAATTACCTTTTGGCCCTTAAGTCTTCTAGAAGCCTT